CCCCATCACTTGACCTTTGATCTGGCGGGACAGAGCGCCCCCTACTGGGAGCGCAGCTACTGGAAGAAGTGCAGGTTGCATTGGTAGAGTTACACATTCCCATTAATACCTTCCCATTACTATACCTCATTACTACATCTCACGACGACAGCATACGTATTTAATATGAGCCTTTACAACGAACTATTTTGTATGTGAAAGAAAACGGATATGTTTAGTGTTTTTGTTTGTTTGTCTTTTTTTCGGGGTTGGGGGGGGGTTGGGGGGAGAACGCGGCGAGGGTGGTCTCTATATATTACGGTAATTCAGATTTCCAGGTTCAAACTTATATCACTATAATTGTCAAATACGTGGTACACATTGTTCAGTGTGCCCTTTTGTAAGACATCGTCACCACATGAGGAACTTTTCTTCTAGAAATCGAAACGTATATTAATATAATCAAAAATTCATACATGTTATTTAAATTAGTTGGTTTCTTTGGAAGGGGGAAGGGGTTGGGGACAAGGTCTGTCGAAGTAGACCACAAAAAGTCTATTATTTCATTGGCAGGTTCTAAACTGCCACATGACTATGTTGTGCTGTACAAGCTGAGAGACAAAGGTATATATTTTGTTGTAACGTATTGGATTGTATTCTGAAGTGAGAAAATCCAGAAGATGAGAAAAACAACATCTTCAAAATGTCATTTTGGAATATGAAACAATATTGAGACAATCTGTCGTCACTCACATCAGTTTGGCTTGTACGTTAATCATCACGTGGATTACCCAGAAAGGCAGATCTTTTCCCTTGTTTTTTATCATACCTTTATGAATATGGCTCCATTGCCTTGAAACAAAACAAATTGATGCTAATTTCAATTTTGTGTTTATGTCGCGCCCGTTGTCCGACAAGAAGTCTGGTTCTCTTTGAAATGATTAAACTGGTTTTGGGTGCTTCATTTATAATATTACCATTCGGTATTCTTTTGCCATTTTTGTTCATTTTTCTACTTTCTGTAGGTATTTTGTTGTTGTTTATCTACTTATCTTGTTACCACATTTCACATATTTTGTTATTAGTCTTCATTTATATATTTTTACCGATTGTGACTTATTTTGCCATTATTCTTAATACCACTCACAGTATTCCTCTCACCAATGGTTCTATACCATACATGTATGCTACTATTTTTGTAATTTTGTCACTATTCTTTAATTTTTAGTTACCCCTCCTGTTTATCTTGGCACCGTTCTTCATTTATTTTGCTACTGTTGTGAATTTATCATGTTACCATTAGAGAAAATGTTACAAGTTTTCATCTTTTTTGTTACTTTTCTTCATTTATTTTTACTCTCTTCATTGAGTCAAGTAACTCTCTTCATATGTTTTGTTACCAACCTTGATTAATTCTTCTACCAGTGTAATCTTATTCTGATACAGCTCTTAGTTTCCTGTAATAATTCATTTTTGTCACTCATCACTTATTTTGTTACCGTTTGTCTTTTTCCGTTTTGTTACCACGCCTATTTCATCGTGTTACCATTTTCCGCTTGTTTTGTTACGAATCTTCGCCAATTGCTTTTATCATTCTTTCGTATCATGTTACCAGTCCAAACATCTGTTACCGTTTTGCATTATTTTGTTACCTTTGTTCATTTGTTCTGGTACCATATACGCTGATCAATAATGGTAGGAGGGATCACAATATACGGAAAGAGTTGCCAAGGATATCAGTGTCTTTGTTAAGTGCCCTGGTCGGGGTATCAACTCTCTGTCCGGAATAGTTTACAAATAAACAAACAATGGTCTTTTTCTACAAGAGACGGCAAAGGGACCACGAATGACTCGTGTCAAAATAGACAATTGTCTGGGGGGGGGGGGGGGGGGGGGGGGGGAAGAAGAAGAAGAAGTAGAAGAAGACACGTTATTGTACATAAACACCTACACTGGGCAGAGTACAAAACATGAACATGACTCGTTATAATGAAAAGTGATAAATAAACATTGACATACACGATGGAATACAAATATTGCTATGATTAAGTCTAGAGAGGAGATGCACATTTTCTTTGCATGAACATTTTGTAAATGAAATAGGGGATATGTTTTGCTAAAGGCGGTGGTGGATTTTGTAGTATTTTCAGTGATATTGGGTGCATAGCTAAGGCGGGTGATGAATTTAGTTCCAGGCTCAGGTCTCTGGGAGGGCATTGCAACAGGAAGTGTTCCTCATCTTCTATTTCACTAAGCGTGATAATGATAAATGACATCCATGAAGGGAAATTCATATTGTTGGCACAGAAACAACCCATATTGGGCTGAGTGCTCGCGACCCGTGGCACGCGCCCTTCCCTGTCGGTGGCACTGCTGTAGATGCGTGCCCCGTGATGCCTCAGTCAGGCTACAAGCCGGTCTTGTATTTGACATATTCGCACACATTTCTGTATATTCAAACAGTGACCTCACTGTCGCTTCACGCTACGTCGGATGTAGACATGTTTAAAAGACGACGTACCATAAACTCACAAAGTGTCACTATGTACCAAGACTGAGGAATAGCAAAATATTAAATTAATAAGAACGAGTCCAGATGATAAAAATACGCAAGACTGTCTAGAAATATTCCACGTTTGGAATAATAATAAACACTAGAATTTATGTTTGATGAAAAACGGCGAAATTATTGAGTTATAAAAGATTTGATCGACTGTTGTCTTGGCGCAGGACCGATGCCTTGCGTTATCTTAGTCTGCGAGTCAACAAAGTTATTTTACTAACGCTTCATTATATATTTTGCTGATATATAAATCCCTAAAATGTAGATGAATATACCCACGTTTGGATACCCCTGGATCACGTATGGCTCGTGTGATCCCCAGTGTCCTTCCTATAAAGGTTGAAACTTTGGAGTGTGTGTGTATGAATCACTGTCAAATCGTCCTGATACCAAGTGTCCGCGAATTGGTGAGCGTAACTAGAATGTTTTTCTTTACCATACTGCCATTTCATTAAATTCACATAACTAAATCTCCTTTTTGAAGATTTAGATTGAAATGGAGTTTAACTTGGCCGAACATGGACCTAATAGGTGATAAATTGAAACAAAATAAAACTTCCAACTCCACTTCTACCTGGCAATGCTTGTTATCCACACCCAAGGTATGGTGGTATGTCGGGATATTGTCATTCACGAGGTGTACATGCAACAGTTTAGAAGTGACAGAACACTAAAGGTGGGACTTTCTCCTTGACCCTAGTACAACGTGTGTACAACGTGTGGATATTAATCTAAAAAGCTACTATGCTCAACATTTTGTAGTAGCAATTGAATTTAATAATATTGAACTTTACAGAGCAAAAATGTTTACATTTCGTTATCCGAAGTGGATCTGTTTTGATGAATATTCCAGTAGATGTTTTTCTTGTTGTTGATATGTTTTTCATAAGCAACAAACAAATGTGTTGGTGATATTTTTATCGTAAAGTTTCCAAGAAATACCAAATATGTTTGTCCTGCGCCGAGACTGTAGAATATATGTATTTTACCAATCTAGATATATACAGTATACAAAAGCAAGTCTAGCCAGTTCTACCTAGCCCTATTCCATAGCATCAGGAAAATTATTTGTTTTAATTTTATAGGAGAGAAGTGTGTTGTAAGATTTCATAGACTATATGTCAGTTTACATATATGTATGAACGCATGTGGACTAGTACGTGTAGTTACATGATGCGACATTTTGGCTATACAAGACTTACACTGAGGAACCACGTCTCACCTACTTTCGTTTTACAGGTCCGTTTTGGTTTCTTGCAGGCAGTCGGGTGAGGTGAGGTGAAATTGGGTTTAACGTCACGTCCAAGATTATTGCACTTATATAGCGACGTGCATGCACGTGCGTATGTGTGTGTGTGTGTGTGTGCGCGCGCGCGCGTGTGTGTGTGTGGCTGTTTGTACTAGTCCGGATTGATGCCGATTTATAGTGCTAGCCCACTGAGATACCATACCGCAGTTTAACATGAGTACCCCACTCAGACACAGTATACTGACTCCGAGCCGACTTGTCCTTGTTTTAGCCCACAGAGATACCATACCGCAGTTTAACATGAGTACAGTATACTGACTCCGAGCCGACCAGTCCTTGTTTTAGCCCACAGAGATACCATACCGCAGTTTAACATGAGTACCCCACTCAGACACAGTATACCGACTCCGAGCCGACCAGTCCTTGTTTTAGCCCACAGAGATACCATACCGCAGTTTAACATGAGTACCCCACTCAGGGGCACGGGTGGCCCAGTCGTCTAATGCGCCGCGATTCGCTGTGCAGAGTTGCGTCCTGGTTCGCCCAGACTATGTCTCTCCGGGTTTGTCAGCACCATACTCGTGCTCGTGGGTTTCACCGAAGTGGTAAACGTCTAAGACCTGCATCACTTCGGGCTTTCCTCAGATACGCCGTGATATAACTGGGATAATGTTAAAAGCGGCGTTAAACCCAAGTCACTCACTCACTCCGCTCTCCGGACGGACGCTCTACCACTAGACCACGGAGGCGGTCGCAGGCAGTTGGGATATAGCTGGGACATACCTAGGACGTCATCGTACAGCTGCGTGCATATGCGAGTACGCACTATGTACATGTACAATAAATATTTCACTGACGAAAGTAAGTACGAGTAGCTGTTTCTGTATTTAATCGTCTCAATTGTGATGACACTGCTATCAAAATATATAATTTAAAAAGGGTTTTGCTAAAGTGGGTTGGTAATTATTTACACATACATAAAATGTGACTGAATTCACATAAAATATCCAGAAATCTGAATAATGCAATTGTTTTACTTTTCACTTTTGTTTCATTATCTCAACTCTTGACTGTCAGATTTTAGTTCATATTCCGGCTGCAACCCAGGAACACTTTTGAACTGTCAGGACACGTTTACATCAACTTCCGGTGTAAACAATCGACTCGAAGATCAGTTGTCGAGATGTAGATAGACCATTGTCGGCGTTCTCTGTCACAAGAAATGTCGTTAGTTAAGCCAGTATGAGGCATGCAGACATTTGCAAAGCACGACATTGTCAGCAGATAGTACAAGCACGACATTGTCAGCAGATAGTACAAGCACGACATTGTCAGCAGATAGTGGAACCCTGATGCCTGACAATGAAGGTTGTAATCTGTTTTTCAAAAGAAAAACAAAAACTCAAATAAAGTTTGTTCTCAAACTTGGAGGAATTACTTTGATAATCTACTACATGCTCCACCAACTCAGTGTCAGGAATACACTGTCACACTTTCCAGTGGAAGCTCTCAACATTCATGAAAGTGAAATCGAAAATGCTCTACGACATTTTGCTGACCCAAAAAAAGATCCACAAGTACCTTTGAGGGATTGTCCAATTCCTAGATTGATCAGTCGTCATGGTAACCCAAGTTCTAGTAACGATACCCAGTCAGCCCATTGCAGGCGAGTGCCACCCGTCAGAGGGTCATGTGACATAGCGGACTCTCTGTTCAAGGATCAGCCTAAGGGCACCTGCTCACAACAAGGCCGAGTACAAATATGTGATTTCCAGGTAATAAATAATAGTGCAAATATATCTTTTGTAAAGACACATATATTTAAGCACATGAGATTCTGTGGAATGTCATAACCTTCTTTCCCAACTGGGGGCCTGGGTGTCCCAGTCTACTATGGTGCAGCGATTGGCTGTGCAGAGTTGCATCCCTAGGGAAGGCCAGATACCTATGATTGTGGGTTTGAATCCCATTATGTTTCTAGGTCTGTAAGCACCTTACCCATGGTTGTGGGTTTCTGCAAAGTGCTAAATGTCTAAGACCTGCATCACTTTGGGCCTTCCTGACACATTAAACTGACACCCCAGGATATAACTGGAGTACAGTTCAAAGAGAGTTGCTCTTTTTTTCACAAACCCAAATAAATAGGCCACGCCCACTAATGGACTAATGTTTCCTGATTGGCGGATAATAGAATGAGCAGGGCTTGTGTTGCATGTTTGCACTGGTCGATGTCACTGATTTCATATATTGTTGAATAATGAATAAATAAGCAGTCTGTGAATTATTATTGTTGACATATTTATCTATGAGAATTTACAATGTGTGCACACCAGGTTTTACCTTTATTCCTCTGTATGGACACGACATTAAATGCCATTTCACCTCACCTCACCTATTCCTCCGTATGGACACAACATTAAATGCCATTTCACCTCACCTCACCTATTCCTCCGTATGGATACGACATTAAACCCCATTTCACCTTGCCTCACCTATTCCTCTGTATGGACACGACATTAAACCCCATTTCACCTCACCTCACCTATTCCTCCGTATGGACACAACATTAAACCCCATTTCACCTCGCCTCACCTATTCCTCTGTATGGACGCGACATTAAACCCCATTTCACCTCACCTCACCTATTCCTCCGTATGGACGCGACATTAAACCCAATTTCACCTCACCTCACCTATTCCTCTGTATGGACGCGACATTAAACCCAATTTCACCTCGCCTCACCTATTCCTCAGTATGGACACGACATTAAACCCAATTTCACCTCAGCTCACCTCACAGTGTCTTCTCTGTCCTTTAAAGGTGTGTAGATGTGGCCAGGAGACAGATACTCCATGAGGGAGGCTGCTTGATGTATTAGCATTACTTATGCGACAACCGCAGTTTGCATTGAGATCACTAATAGAACAGTATCAGTCCTACTTATATAGAGTCAGTGCCACTGTGTACACTTGCTAACAGTAAATGTTCACATTGTTAACAGGGCAATCCGAGGAGACTGATCTGTAAGAAGACAAACTGTGATAAGCTCCACCTGGGAACTCGAAGTCTTGACACTGGTGTGCTGAAATGGAGGGAAGTGGCATCAACTGATATGTTACAAAGTCAAATTGTTGACCTTCTTAAGACGCCCCACAGCGGTTATTGCTACATCCGTTGTGAACAGTCCACTGTGGAGGTGAATGTGGAGTATCCAGACTTTCTGCAAGAATCCAGTGACACTCAGAATGTGCAGCTACTTATTCTGCCCCCACTAGTCCCGGGGAACAAGAAGTATAACAGAGCATCACCGTCTATAAATGTTAACTTCATATTTATTGACTCTGTTTCAAGACACCATTTCTTTAGATCTCTACCAAAGACAATAAAACTGTTTGACAGACTTAACACTGGCAAGAATGCAGTGGTGTTAGACTTTGAGCTTGTACAGGCAGTACGTTCAAGAACTTTTGAGACTTTAAGTAGTTTGTTTCAAGGCAACATACCTCAGGAAGATCAGACATTCGGAGTGCTGGACATGCCCCCAGAAGCCCTCAAAATTGAGGGTTTGTTTGGCTTGTTCAGAGATGCAGGGTATTGTACATTATGGCTGGAAGATCTTTGTTTTGAATGGGAGTGGGGCATCTCTAAAGATTTGCTTGTACACAACAAATCACTATCAACAGAAGAGACATGGAAGAGTTTGAGGAAAGCTTTCAGTAAAGCTGGGATTGAATCTTTTGGTGTTTCTACAGCGAGCTGTGAGATTCTGAACCAAAATGGAGTGAATGACCACTTCCATGGACCTGATACTGTGTGCTTCAATGGCCGACATCAACATGAGTATCTTCTGGATTATTTAAAACTTTACCAGGACATGATGGCCGCCACAAGTAAACCCTATGTTACATTCCTGGAAACAAACGTCGGCCATGAAGACACTGGTCGGAGAGTACAGACAATGGATGATCATCTGGCGGAGTACCTGGCATTCGCTGCTAACCAGCGGAACACCCTGACTGTGGTTTTCTCCGACCATGGGAATGCCTATGGAAAGTTTCTAGATGAATCTCCAGAAGGAAGGGTGGAACTGTACCATCCGGCTCTCTTCATGATCGTTCCCACGTCAGTCGCGAAACAACTCGGTCAGGACAAAATGGCGGCCTTGACCTTGAATCAGGACCGTTTGGTCAGCCATCTTGATCTGCACTACACCATCAGATCTCTGATCAGCAGCACGTCCAACATTCCCGAAGTCAACAAACAATACCTCGTCAACCCCATGGGGCTGTTCCGCAACATGTCGGACTCACGTCAGTGTCTCAATGTTCCACAGATTCCACCCAACTTCTGTATCTGTGAGGGCGGCGAGTCGCGGGTCAAGAACAACACCCTCCATGTTGTGTATGCACACTTCGCTGTTGGCACCATGAACAACGCGATACAGACACAGTTCCATCAAGCACATCCGAGGGTTGTCACAGGATTTGGCAGCTGTCGCAGACTGCGGTTGGCAATGTTCCAACATGTGAGAAAAGCTGTGCATTCAGTAAGTTCCATGTTTTAGACTAGCAACCCTAAGTTGAGTTGAATGATCATACTGATCAGGGCCCATGTTAAAGTATGATAGTTACGATCGCCTTAGCGCTATGACTGTCGTAAGTAACATAATCTTAATCCATTTTTCTCATTTCTCAATTTTCTCATTCCATTGGCAGTCACGTGAGAACGCTTAAGCACCTTCCTGTCAATGTGTATGCAGTAATCAGCTTGCACTATTGTTGCAAGGTGTGCATGTTAATTAGCCTTGATTGGATACTGATGTAATTGCGTCAATCACAGTGAGTTCAGTCAGTTGTGTGTGAAGTGAGTTTAGGTTGAAAGTTTGGCAAGTGTGGGTGTGTGGAGTTTTTTTTTCTTATTTTGAACTGTTCGAGTCCACACATCCAGTTTGACAGATCCAAGTATACATGGTGGTAAACATATTTCCCACCCACAATTTTATTTAATTTTATTATATTTGTTGATCTTTTAAATATTGAAACAAAATACCTGGAGACCAACAAATGATATGACAACACAGCAGTTGGTAACCAGGGAGACAGTGTTGATATTAGATCATGCTCCTCACAAGGATCCAGCTCGGACCATAACCTGAGGTTCCACGTAGCTGACTGCGATTCAAGAACCATATTTCTGTCGAAGGATCCCGTGGTGATCCTGGGTCAGAAGTAGAGGTGAAACGATACATCGGTGCACCAGTGCATGTTGAGCTTCCATGTGCTGATACGATACATCGGTGCACCAGTGCATGTTGAGCTTCCATGTGCTGATACGATACATCGGTGCACCAGTGCAGTAGAGCTTCCATGTGCTGATACGATACATCGGTGCACCAGTGCATGTTGAGCTTCCATGTGCTGATACGATACATCGGTGCACCAGTGCATGTTGAGCTTCCATGTGCTGATACGATACATCGGTGCACCAGTGCATCTTGAGCTTCCATGTGCTGATACGATACATCGGTGCACCAGTGCATGTTGAGCTTCCATGTGCTGATACGATACATCGGTGCACCAGTGCATGTTGAGCTTCCATGTGCTGATACGATACATCGGTGCACCAGTGCAGTAGAGCTTCCATGTGCTGATACGATACATCGGTGCACCAGTGCAGTAGAGCTTCCATGTGCTGATACGATACATCGGTGCACCAGTGCAGTAGAGCTTCCATGTGCTGATACGATACATCGGTGCACCAGTGCATCTTGAGCTTCCATGTGCTGATACGATACATCGGTGCACCAGTGCAGTAGAGCTTCCATGTGCTGATACGATACATCGGTGCACCAGTGCATCTTGAGCTTCCATGTGCTGATACGATACATCGGTGCACCAGTGCAGTAGAGCTTCCATGTGCTGATACGATACATCGGTGCACCAGTGCATCTTGAGCTTTCATGTGCTGATACGATACATAATACAATGTTTTCTGTATCGATACAAGACGATACACCTGCTAAAATACATTAGTGCTGGTTTAATGACCCCCCAGCGTTTTTGTCAGTCAAAAATCACAAAATGTGTTGTGATTAAGTTCACTACTAAAAATAGCTGCTATGCACATGTGTCTACAGCTAGCTTTTCCTTTTGAACCTGCTCTGAAATATTTATAGACATTTACATGTGATTTGGATCAGGTGGTCAGACATAGTGACTCGGTTAATTATGTGTCATCGTGACCCGAACACCATTGCTCATAATATCAATCACTGGTTTACTGGTTGGTTATTTACAGGCTGCCTTAATATAGTTCACATCTTGCTGACTATGCTGACATTAAGCAACAAACAAAATCAAAGTCAATTATATTAAAGTTCCGTTATCTTTCCACAGGACAAGACTGTTTCCCTGACAATGGACTTGTTGTTCGAGACTGGAGATCCGTCCTACCCCCATCACGAAGTCTTCATGGTCTCCGTCCAGTCAAACAACGGCCAGTTTGTCCTGAACAAGTTTGACCGCTTGTCTCCATACAGTAAATACTCCGTCTGTGCTGACAAGGGGGTACAGCTGCAGCTATGCATCTGCAACATCGGCGACCACCAGGTGGAAATGGAACGCCTGCCGCCGCTGTCTGATGCAGGCTTGTTACGGAGGCAGGACCTACTGATGCATGCCAGCATCGTGAAGGTGAAGGAGTCTGAGGACTGTCTGTACCGGATGAACCAGGAAAACGAAGATGGCCTGACTGTGTCTATGATGAACGTGTGCTCCACCACTGTGATACATGTCTCTGTTGCCGTGGACACGGTTGGTATGGAAGCGTTGACAGGCAAGTCTGTGCAGGCTGATCTACGCCCCGGGGAAATCAGGTTCTTGTTTGCTGGCGTCGCCAAATCCGTAAAGACGTGGAACTGGTCCTACCAAGTACAGTTTACTCTCAACACCTGGCCTTGACCTTCAGTGTAACTCGCCTGGACCTTCAGTGTGACTGGCATGTGGAGTCTGCTTATGGCAGCCATGAAGGGTTGAAATAAGTTACATTGGGAGGTCTGGTTTTTGGTGATTCCGATGAGTTAATTTTTCAGTTAATCCTACAATACTGCTTTAACAATGCTAACAGTGGTGCTGTAACAATGCTAACAGTGGTGCTGTAACAATGCTAACAGCACTGCTGTAACAATGCTAACAGTACTGCTGTAACAATGCTAACAGTACTGCTGTAACAATGCTAACAGCACTGCTGTACCAATGCTAACAGTACTGCTGTAACAATGCTAACAGCACTGCTGTAACAATGCTAACAGGACTGCTGTAACAATGCTAACAGCACTGCTGTAATAATGCTAACAGTACTGCTGTAACAATGCTAACAGTACTTCTGTAACAATGCTAACAGCACTGCTGTAACAATGCTAACAGTGGTGCTGTAATAATGCTAACAGTGGTGCTGTAATAATGCTAACAGTACTGCTGTAACAATGCTAACAGTACTGCTGTAACAATGCTAACAGTGGTGCTGTAATAATGCTAACAGAACTGCTGTAACAATGCTAACAGTGGTGCTGTAATAATGCTAACAGTACTGCTGTAATAATGCTAACAGTACTGCTGTAACAATGCTAACAGTACTGCTGTAACAATGCTAACAGTGGTGCTGTAATAATGCTAACAGTGGTGCTGTAATAATGCTAACAGTACTGCTGTAATAATGCTAACAGTACTGCTGTAACAATGCTAACAGTACTGCTGTAACAATGCTAACAGTGGTGCTGTAACAATGCTAACAGTACTGCTGTAATAATGCTAACAGTGGTGCTGTAACAATGCTAACAGCACTGCTGTAACAATGCTAACAGTACTGCTGTAACAATGCTGCTGTTACAATGATAACAGTACTGCTGTAACAATGCTAACAGTACTGCTGTAACAGTACTGCTGTAACAATGCTAACAGCTACCTACCTATTATATGGTAGTTGTTCTTCAATTATACAGAGCTCCAGATAACTTTTTGAACAATTGAGTTTTTACTCTAGGGTTTCTATTTTAATTGGGTTATCACATTTTTCATTGGGTAACCAATATTTTTTCACTCATCTACTCATCATTCTCATGGGATTTTACCAAAATTAGTGAACATTTTAAGATTTAAAAAAATGAAATAATGTTTTAGATGTATGTAACTGGTCTAAATATATATGTTTGAATTGGAAAATAATAGCTCATAATTGTTTCGGAAATTAGCTCCTTTGTACGCATGCTGAAAAAGCTTCATTGGGTATTTACGCGTGCTGTTTTTATACATTTGAGTTTTTCATTTAATGCCTGCATTTCTTAATGCAAGTTAGTTGAAAGTAATTGGGTTTTGAATATTTTGGTGGGTATTTTTACGCTGCATATCTGTAGCTCTGGATATATTAATAGAGTTTAACATGGCGAGCTTCACATGGCAGAGCTTTTAAAAAGAATTTGGTGACATAATCGGTTGATACAGTGTAACATGGCGGCATCAGGGTATTCTTAGTGAGAGATGCAACTGTCAAAAGGTATTTGTGGGAAAGGGTTTCACAAGGCTTTGCATGAAGAATCTAAAGCATTGCTCTGGGTATGAACAGTGTTATGTTCGGGAAGTCAGGAGCAGCAATGGACTACTTATTCCATGTAAAAACTATGCAGTGGGCGGTTTCAGATGTTGTGTGAGGGGACAATGATGGGCGGCAAGCCCGTGGTTTCATGTGATGAGTTTTGATACTACAGTATACCATATTTTCTTGAGTATAGTGCGCACTTTTTTGTGCGGTACATTTACTTAATCATAATTTTATGTGTATCTAACAATCATATTTGTCAAAATAAAACTTGACTGTTGAATGAATTGTTTGCTGTTAATTCCATGATCTAGGATTAGCCTGACAATGTGTGGGGAGGTATCTGTGAATGACAGGGTGTTGGTAAATTCAACAAGATCCCTGCACACAGGCGGACCCAGAGGGAGTGGGGGGGGGGGGGGGGGGGGGGGGTGTTCAGGTCCCATTTGAAAACCATATGTAGTAGGTTGTCGGCAGTAAAACTGACAGAGGATTTTGATATTTTGGACCCCTCCCTTTTTTTTTTAAATACTGGATCCACCCTTGCTGCATACACTGCATGTAGACTCTAAACTGTTACCATGGTTGCTTGAGTATGTGTTTTGATTTGGATGATGCCAAGAAAGAAAAAAACAAAATGTTGATTGTGTGGCTAACATCGTCGACATCAGGTACTCAAGTCATTTTTTTCTGTCCATCGGATCCTAGTCAGACTTGTTTCTATCCATCAGAGCCTCGTCAAAGCCACACTTGTTTCTATCCATCAGAGCCTCGTCAAAGCCACACTTGTTTCTATCCATCAGAGCCTCATCAAAGCCACACTTGTTTCTATCCATCAGAGCCTCGTCAAAGCCACACTTGTTTCTATCCATCAGAGCCTCGACAAAGCCACACTTGTTTCTATCCATCAGAGCCTCATCAAAGCCACACTTGTTTCTATCCATCAGAGCCTCGTCAAAGCCACACTTGTTTCTATCCATCAGAGCCTTGTGAAAGCCACACTTGTTTCTATCCATCAGAGCCTCGTGAAAGCCACACTTGTTTCTATCCATCAGAGCCTCTTCAAAGCCACACTTGTTTCTATCCATCAGAGCCCCGTCAAAGCCACACTTGTTTCTATCCATCAGAGCCTCATCAAAGCCACACTTGTTTCTATCCATCAGAGCCTCGTCAAAGCCACACTTGTTTCTATCCATCAGAGCCTCTTCAAAGCCTCACTTGTTTCTATCCATCAGAGCCCCGTCAAAGCCACACTTGTTTCTATCCATCAGAGCCTCGTCAAAGCCACACTTGTTTCTATCCATCAGAGCCTCGTCAAAGCCACACTTGTTTCTATCCATCAGCTTGTGAAGTACTGATGACGAGATGCCTCGGATAAACATGTTACCATGACGCCGGAACACACAACAAACAAAAGTTTGCAGTTTCATAAAACATGTTTATAACTGTACAATACAATGCTGGCAGTGATAGCAGACAACAAACAATGCCTGGAGATCCCCCGACAATACACCTCCATGTCCACATGGGAAAGTCAGCTGAGTCGGAACTGTCTCGTGAAGTGCAGGGGTCGCATGGCTTTATGGACAACACGGTCGAGTCTTTTTCTCTCGACTGAATCAAGCTAATACCAGGAAGACTTGTATGAAACATTGTTTAATGTAATCCTTAAGATGATAATTCTGTACAAGAAAACAATGACAGATGAGGGACACGTGATGATAATGCCCACAGCTGTGAGCGAGGCAATACTACTCAAAACAAGTTAAAGAGCGCCCACAACTGTAAGGCTGTGTGTTGCAATAACCATCTATGACAGATCTACTATATTCATTTATAATATAAAGGAAAATAGGATTTTCTTAAACTTATTTTGAGTAGTATATGTTTCAGCAGCATCACAACCTCAGGGATATCATCATCCCATACAAACCAAGGTTTTATGGTAACGCTTGCTCCATACTGTTGGACAATGACACAGAATGAGTGAGTGAGTTGGGTTTAACACCACTTTGAACAGTATTCCAGTTATATCACGGCGTGTCAGCTTAACGTGGGAGGAAAGCCAGAAGTGAAGCAGGTCTCAGACATTTACCACTTTGGTGAAACCCACGGGCACGGGTATGGTGGTGACAAACCTAGAAACACAATCAGGGCGGACTGTGATTCAAACCCACAATCATAGGTTTCTGGTGTGCCAAAGGGAAGCAACTCTGCAAAGCGAATCACTCCGCCTTAGGACGACTGGGCCATCTTGCCACTATGACACAGAATGAACCAGGTGAGAGCAAACAACTAAAGTATGACAAGGGCCCTCGAGTGGGACTTGCTACATACTGGTGATGACGAGATGAGGCAGGGATTGTCAAATACATGAGCATATAGACACAGTGGAACACTCGAAAACGGACAATGTTAATAGAAATTAGAAAGATTAGAGATAAAAGTATTTTGTGGTAATACCATAGTGTCACAGGGTTAGGATCATCTTATGATTAGACAACCCCCTGTTCTTCCTATTTAGCAAGTGTGTCCTAGCATGGTCTATAGATTATTCCGCAATTTGCCAAAACATTGTGATCAGAGAGTTGTGGACACACCTCACCCTAACCAGCCATGCCGACCAGTACCAGTTGTCATGAATTAAACAATTAGCTTTTCATTAGGAGTTATTCTTGGTCCTGTGACACTGTGGCAATGCCATTCACATTGAATAAACTATACATACTTAGTGAACAACATTTGCTTATTAAGTTGAAAATTAGTATAAGTACTAAGTAAGACCACAGGTATCTCTGATCAAAATAATGACACTGTATGTCTTTTTGACTACCAAACAACACTCTTTTCTACATAAACATTCATAATGGTGTCTGAAAATCATACAATTTCATTTTATTCAATAAAAACTTCATTCCTGTCGTATGGTTGTGTGAAGCGCTGGGTTCGAAATTAATATTTATTTTTACTCATATGTCACTAGTCCTTCCTGAATCTTACTAGTCTGTTTATTTTGACCCCTGTGGCTGTTCATTACTGTAAATGCCTCAATGTCCAGTTGTCCCGAGGGAGAGAGACGCTATCACCTGGTTCTGCAACCCTGCTCCAAGTTGCGTGACACTCAACTGAAAACCAGCACGTTCATCAAGCTGATAGGAAATACATGCAACTCTTCCATCCCTCCGGGCAAAGGCACAGGTGAGAGAGCAGGATGCACATGAAGAAGAGAATTTATGAATGTCAACTTCTTTATTATGATATATACCGGTAATAAAGAAATTGACATCCATTAATTCTTTTCCTTATGTGTATCACTAAATGCCATTCAAAGACTATCCAGGAAGCACTTGGTATGTTGCGGAGAAAAGAAATAACACAGCACTAAAATATGTAATCATGGTAACTACCTGTACAATTGGAAAATGCTATAATACACTACTTAGAGACTAGATTAAAAAAAAGCTGTAATTGATTGTGGAACTATTCAAAATGTCTACAAAACCAAATCAGTTTGCAGGGAAACGCTCCCAGTTTCGAACGATGAATCATTGACATTAGGCTAAAAAAAATAATAGTCTTGGTTCTCAGGCACCACCCACACCACGATAAAGTTTGCTGCCCGTTTCATTTTTATTTCCGTTTTCATTTTTTTTATAGAAAATCCTCAAATATTTTAGGTCCAACGGTAGTAAAATACTGCATTCCAGTATTTTACTCATCAGGGAATAGATTTATGTAGGGAGGCCCTTTCCAAGGTTAATTGTACAAAATTGTTTATTTAGCGGAGAACCAATTTTTTATTTTTTAAGCCTTACATCTGGGGTTAACAACAAAAACTTGTCTCTTGAAGTTCTATTAGAACAGAGAACCCAAGAACACCATGACACAAAAAGCTGCAATTGGACGTTGTGCAATATGCTCTTACTTAATCTCAAAATGTCAGCAAGTTTCACAGGGATCATTGTCCTCTAATTTCTTAGTAAGTAATACAAACATTCAAACACAAAAATAACAGATCTTTGAACATTAACACGGAAGATAAGGACAGAACAGGACGCTCCATTCTGTGATGCAACTATGATGCCTTGAGTCAAGACAATGACATGAATGATTGTAGAAATCGCAATACTTGTATCTAGGTTAGATTGGCCCCATAAAGAAACAAGTGATAGGTAAATATTAATCACAACTAAAATGAAAATAGACAGTTTGTCACTTTAGAAAAATTAATCACTACACTTTGTTCAGGGTATTCTTCACTGAAGAATTGACCTCAAGATGATAGTTTCCGACACATAAATAAATGCATCCAAGAGCCCTAACACTGGAGTATAGTTATATGAGGACAGCTCTTATTTCCTGTATGGCGACATCCCTAATCATGCTAATGTTAGTGTATGGCGACACCCCTAACATAAGTTTATGGCGACACCCCTAACATAAGTGTATGGCGACACCCCTAACATAAGTGTATGGCGACACCCCTAACATAAGTGTATGGCGACACCCCTAACATAAGTGTATGGCGACACCCCTAACATAAGTGTATGGCGACATCCCTAACATAAGTGTATGGTGACGTCCCTAACATAAGTGTATGGCGACATCCCTAACATGTATAGAGCGACATATGACTTCTTGACTGAGCTACAGTCGGATGCAGTCACAGTCATAACATTTGTAGAAATAGGCCATGGCTCATAGGCAACATACAGGAAACTCACTGTGTCATCAATGTAAGACACACTGTGTCATCAATGTAAGACACACTGTGTCATCAATGTAAGACACACTGTGTCATCAATGTAAGACTCACTGTGTCATCAATGTAAGACTCACTGTGTCATCAATGTAAGACACACTGTGTCATCAATGTAAGACTCACTGTGTCATCAATGTAAGACTCACTGTGTCATCAATGTAAGACTCACTGTGTCATCAATGTAAGACACTGTGTCATCAATGTAAGACTCACTGTGTCATCAATGTAAGACACACTGTGTCATCAATGTAAGACACTGTGTCATCAATGTAAGACACACTGTGTCATCAATGTAAGACACACTGTGTCATCAATGTAAGACACTGTGTCATCAATGTAAGACTCACTGTGTCATCAATGTAAGACTCACTGTGTCATCAATGTAAGACACACTGTGTCATCAATGTAAGACTCACTGTGTCATCAATGTAAGACTCACTGTGTCATCAATGTAAGACACTGTGTCATCAATGTAAGACTCACTGTGTCATCAATGTAAGACACACTGTGTCATCAATGTAAGACTCACTGTGTCATCAATGTAAGACTCACTGTGTCATCAATGTAAGACTCACTGTGTCATCAATGTAAGACACACTGTGTCATCAATGTAAGACTCACTGTGACATCAATGTAAGACTCACTGTGTCATCAATGTAAGACTCACTGTGTCATCATGTAAGACACACTGTGTCATCAATGTAAGACTCACTGTGTCATCAATGTAAGACTCACTGTGTCATCAATGTAAGACACACTGTGTCATCAATGTAAGACACACTGTGTCATCAATGTAAGACACACTGTGTCATCAATGTACGACTCACTGTGTCATCAATGTAAGACACTGTGTCATCAATGTAAGACACACTGTGTCATCAATGTAAGACTCACTGTGTCATCAATGTAAGACACACTGTGTCATCAATGTAAGACACACTGTGTCATCAATGTAAGACTCACTGTGTCATCAATGTAAGACTCACTGTGTCATCAATGTAAGACACTGTGTCATCAATGTAAGACTCACTGTGTCATCAATGTAAGACACTCTGCATAACAAGATCTGAACATGTCATAAAAAGAAGCAACATTTTTAACAACAAAGACAAGATGAACTAAGTTTGATTCATGAGTATAAGCTGCTGCCACCATCCCCATGTTGACACAGAGGCCCATTAGTAGCTTCAGGATGAGACAAATACACTGGTCATCCTGATGTATGCCTGCAAACACACTGACCAGGTCCAGTAACTTTAATGGAGGTGGTCTGAATGACTAAATTGACTGAGTTTGTTTGTGAGAATCACAGAAATGTGATAAGAGTATTTGAGATATAAAGACTTAATGTTCTGCAGTTGAAACCTTCTGAAAAACTGTATTTGTCTCCCCCTGGAATATAATATTCTCCCTTTGTACTAATAAAACAGGAAATATGTGTCCAGAAGTGAGATTAGTTTAAAACGGTTTTCAAGGGTATGTTAGTAAGATCCCAGTGTGTTAACTTGAGGTGGGAGTGCAGCCTGAGGTGATGCAGGTGTTGAGCCGTTTACTGCTAGGGTGAAGCCACAATCACAGGTATGACTGACCAAGATCAGTGCGAATTTGAGAATCAAGCCCACAAGCACAGCGAATTGTGAGACCTTGGACAGCTGGGCCACCTGTGCACATGTCTATGACAAGACACTACATACACCTTTAACCCATGTTGATCTGGTATTGGGACCTGAAAGTCCTCGACACCTCGGCAGTAGCAACATTGTGCGCTGCCACCAACTCAACACAAGACATTATTTGGTTTCAGCAACAGTGTTAACAAGGCAGTATAGTTTTATAGTATAGAGAGTCAAGATCACATCACTAAACAAATGATTACTAAACTAAATACATGTCCACAGGACAAACAAATGGATTTTCATTTTCATTTTCAAACATGTCAATCAAGCCAACATCCTTCGATAACAATTTCCACAGGAAGTCTTACTGAAGCTTCTATGCTTGAAACAAGTCTTGTCTCACATACTGTAGTTTCAGCTCATCTTGAATCCAAAACTGTGTAGTAGTCCTACTGCACATCAGAATAGTAACATCTTACTCAACATGCTGAACACCATTGGCCCTGGGAATAATCAACTCACTTTGCTTTCTCAAAAGTTTTTGCATCCTTCAGACATTTTACAACTGAAAAGTTCCGAACTTCAAACACAGTTTTCAAAAACAAGGATGAATGTGTGCTCACTTAGACCCTCAACTCCTTCCAACAGAATGTTTTCACACAGAAACTGATCAAGACATCAAGTTCTTTTCACCAAACTGGAATGGTTTTTCAAACATTTATTTTTAATATATTTTCTTTTTTGAAAAGTTAACCACAAGTTGCTGTGACAGGAAGTACAATCCAGGCCAGTGACTGCTGAGTCGGGGTCACTAGGTAGATTGTCAGCGTCACCTGTCACATCACTGGGTGATGATGTGCCAGCCATGTCGGGGGTGGAGTGAAGCTGCAGCGGACGCTACCTGTCCACGTACACAATGTCCCCGAACAAGTCCTCCTGCCTCTCCACCAGGTATCTGCAACACAAAGCCACAGTTGTAGGGTTGATGGGGAGGGGAGGGGAGGCCGTGAAATGACATGACAACACTATAGCTGTAGGCTACAATGGGGAGAGGAGGCGGTGAAATGATGAGACAACACTATAGCTATAGGCTACGATGGGGAGGGGAGGCAGTGAAATTGCGGGACAACACTATAGCTGTAGGGTACAGTGGGGAGGGGAGGAGGTGAAATGACGGGACAACACTATAGCTGTAGGCTACAATGGGGAAGGGAGGCGGTGAAATGATGGGACAACACTACAGCTGTAGGCTACAATGGGGAGGGGAGGTGGTGAAATGACGGGACAACACTATAGCTGTAGGGTACAATGGGGAGGGGAGGTGGTGAAATGACGGGACAACACTACAGCTGTAGGCTACAATTGGGAGGGGAGGCAGTGAAATGACGGGACAACACTATAGCTGTAGGGTACAATGGGGAGGGGAGGCAGTGAAATGACGGGACAACACTATAGCTGTAGGGTACAATGGGGAGGGGAGGCAGTGAAATGACGGGACAACACTATAGCTGTAGGGTACAATGGGGAGGGGAGGCAGTGAAATGACGGGACAACACTTTAGCTGTAGGCTACAAAGGGGAGGGGAGGCGGTGAAATGACGGGACAACACTACAGCTGTAGGGTACAATGGGGAGGGGAGGTGGTGAAATGACGGGACAACACTACAGCTGTAGGCTACAATGGGGAGGGGAGGCGGTGAAATGACGGGACAACACTACAGCTGTAGGGTACAATGGGGAGGGGAGGTGGTGAAATGACGGGACAACACTACAGCTGTAGGCTACAATGGTGAGAGAAGGTGGTGAAATGATGAGTCCTTATGATACTATTGGACAGTTTGGCAAGGACTATAGGACTAGTGCCAATTTCTAACGTTGGAGTGAGAGTGAGTGGTGAGAGTGAGTGAGACTGGAGTGTATGAGTGAGTGAGTGAGAGTGGCGAAACTGAGTGAGTGAGTTGAGTGGAGTGAGTGAGTGAGTGACTCACCTGAGAAGATGGTGGATGAGTTTCATCAAGGTTCTCATCTTGCAGTCCTCCATATCCATTTTGTTCAGAATCTCGGGCAACTTCACTGAAGTACAGAAACACCATAGATATTAATGTTTTTTTGTTGTAAACGCACAACTAATTTTCACTGTCTAACCATACCCCTGTCACTTAGATAATTGTCATTAGGTTAAGAGTTAGTGACACAACCTACCAAATTCAGCTATAGAGTCACTGGTTGTAATAAGGTGAGGACAAATGGAGCTCAACATGTCCTACATTTTTGCACTTACAGTGTGTGTGTGTGTGTGTTTCATAGTGCTAGCCCACTGAAATACAAGGCCACAGTTTAACATGAATACCTCACTCAGACACAGTATACTGACTCCAAGCCGAACAGTCCTTGTTTTAGCCCCTTAATGCCGAGCACCAGGAAAGGTAACAACAAGTACTATCTCTTAACGTCTTTTCCCAGGAAGCGGCTGGGGATTGAACCCCGAGCCTTCTGCTCTCCGTGCGAACGCCCTACCACCAGACCATGGAGGCCGTCTCCAGGCAGAGCTCTTCCACAAGACCATGGGAGGTGGTTCCCGGGCTGACGCTCTTCCACAAGACCACGGAGGCGGTCTCTGGCCCGACTCTCCATCACAAGACCACGGAGGCAGTCTCTGGCCCGACTCTCTATCACCAGACCACGGAGGCTGTTTCCAGGGGGACACCCTACCACCAGACCACGGAGGGAGTTTCCAGGCAGTCGCCCTAGCACCAGACCACGGAGGCAGTTTTCAGGCGGACGCCCTACCCCCAGACCAAGGAGGCAGTTTCCAGGCAGTCGCCCTAGCACCAGACCACGGAGGCAGTTTCCAGGCAGTCGCCCTACCACCAGACCACGGAGGCGGTTTCCAGGCGGACGCCCTACCATCAGACCACGGAGGCGGTTTCCTGGAAGACACTCTACCACCAGACCACAGAGGCAGTCTCCGGGGGGACACTCTACCACCAGACCACGGAGGCGGTTTCCAGGCAGACGCCCTACCACCAGACCACGGAGGAGGCGGTTTCCAGGCGGACGCCCTACCACCAGACCACGGAGGGAGTTTCCAGGCAGTCGCCCTAGCACCAGACCACGGAGGCAGTTTCCAGGCGGACGCCCTACCCCCAGACCAAGGAGGCAGTTTCCAGGCAGTCGCCCTAGCACCAGACCACGGAGGCAGTTTCCAGGCGGACGCCCTACCACCAGACCATGGAGACGGTTTCCAGGCGGACGCCCTACCACCAGACCACGGAGGAGGCGGTTTCCAGGCGGACGCCCTACCACCAGACCACGGAGGGAGTTTCCAGGCAGTCGCCCTAGCACCAGACCACGGAGGCAGTTTTCAGGCGGACGCCCTACCCCCAGACCAAGGAGGCAGTTTCCAGGCAGTCGCCCTAGCACCAGACCACGGAGGCAGTTTCCAGGCAGTCGCCCTACCACCAGACCACGGAGGCAGTTTCCAGGCAGTCGCCCTACCACCAGACCACGGAGACGGTTTCCAGGCGGACGCCCTACCATCAGACCACGGAGGCAGTTTCCAGGCAGTCGCCCTACCACCAGACCAAGGAGGCAGTTTCCAGGCAGTCGCCCTACCACCAGACCACGGAGGCAGTTTCCAGGCGGACACCCTACCACCAGACCAAGGAGGTGGTCACTGGTTGTGATACACACATGGTATAAATCCTACATCAAAACCAGTTGCTTCCATTCCTTGGCTCTACAAGCGTGAGTGAGTTGGGTTTAATACTGCTTTTAACAATATTCCAACAATATATTTACTATTGAAGAAACATTATGAAATGATCAGCTATGAATGTTAATATGTTGTCCAAAAGTGTGCCGGTTTGATATATCATAAGTTAAGAAAGGTTTCTGTGATTGTAACCGAGTGAACATTACTTAACACTGCAGTCATTAATATTTCAGCCATGTCAAATAATTGAGTCTTGATAAGGAAAGCCAGGCAAACTAGTTGTTTTTCAAAACCCACTGAAATCATGGACATAAAATACTGAAAAAGAAAGACATTTAGGCAACTTATGATGTGTCAAAAACAAACTCCGATCCCTGCACAATGTATTTTCAAAACCACCTACCAAAAAGTCTGAGAAAATGGTTAACACCATATATCTGTGAAGGCGTGATATCAAATTTTGACCGGGAATCCAGAGGAAACAGTTGCCATGACAACACACTTTCTAGAAAGTCTTCCTTCCTGTATCCATGTTCCGAAGCTCCATCCTTGCTGCCACTGCAGCTCCCCGGGACAGGTGGATTCCCTGCGAGGGGAGGGGCTGAGTCAGAACCACCCATGTCACTGTCACTTAAAGGTTCCGATTTCACAACATGAGAAGAAGAGTGACCTCCCCTTCCTCCACCTCCTCGCCCCCTCCAGCCCTTCTTCCTCTCATGCTTGACGGCGACGGTGGACGAGATGGTGGGCGAGGATGGAGCGTCGTCATGGGTGACAGATCTTCGTGTGATTCTTCGCGGTGAGAGCTCCACATTGTCAAACTCCTCTGAATGTTTACTTTGTTTTGTTGCTCCTTTTTGTTTTTTGGCTGCGGGTTCCTCAGTGCCACCAGAGGACGTTGAACTTGTCGGCCTGATGAAACAAAAACATGTAACAAATTCCCATCTTACAATATCATGTCATCCTTATTGCTGGTACGATGTTAATTTTTAACTCACTGGTTTCTGCACAAAGCAGGAGTCCCGTCCAACAAACGTCTACAACCTTAAAACACACATGCTACGCCAGAAACACATACTGAAGATACTATTTTGTCTACAGGTGACACAAAGATACGGTAGATACAGGAAGGGAATGTCATATGATGAAAAGTTTCTCAACCAATTAGACCAGGGCCCACTTGCACAAAGCGATCTTAGCGCTACGACTATCGTAAGCCTACGTTAAAGTATGGGAGTTACGATCATCTTAGCGCTAAGATCGTTTTGTGCAAGTGGGCCCTGACGTTGATCATGTTGATGTGCTCCGGTGTGATGACATCTGTAAACACTCCTCGGCATGGCAACAGCCAAGATTGTGCCCTCCTAGCCACTAGGGGTGAAATGATGCCCCAAGGACACGATGTGATGCAAATCAGGATACATACATCTTCCCGAGGCAAGAGAGTTAACTGACTATAAAAAGCTAGTTTCCACCCTTGCTGAACTAGGCTGGTATTATGGAGTTACATTTTGGCTGGACTAACCAGTCTATGCGTAGTCCAATCAAAATTGCGCATCGAAATCCGGTTCGTAAATTGTCGTGCAGATTTTAGTCGATTGCTGGATTTGCAAAGCATGTGCACCACCAACTCGTTGTCAGAAGATATTTTCCTAATCTTTTCATGTTTTAATCAAGGTGCTCAGACCCGCGAAGATTCCAGGGTAGAATAGGTCTTCAGCAACCCATACTTGCCGTAAAAGGTGACTATGCTTGCCGTAAAAGGCGACTAACGGGATCGGGTGGTCAGGCTCGCTGACTTGGTTGATGCATGTCATCGATCCCAATTGCGTGGATCGATGCTCATGACATTAATCACTGGATTGTCTGATCCAGACCGGTTACAGACAGCCGTCATATCGCTGGAATATTGCTGAGTGTGGCGTTAAACAACAAACCAACCAACCAAAATCAAGGTGCTCATGTGATTTGATGCATTTTGCGATGTAAGACCCGTTTTATCACAATATAGATCTTGATTATCGATCAGATCGTCCTGACTGGGCGCCACCATTTTGTGTGAAGCAAACGCAAGTGATACGAGAGGTGGAATCTGATTTGTCCATAGGAGAGGCTTAGAAGGGACAAAACTGGTAATAGCCACTGGTGGTGCTACGATTGAGCCCAGTAATTCCAGTCTAGTTCGGCAAGGGTGGAAACGGGACTTTAAAGTCAGTTAACTCTCTTGCCTCGGGAAGATGTGATACATAGGTCACGATACAATATTTTATCACAATACGCACATTTATGTCAAATCGTGGAAACTTCTTGACGATAAATATTTCAGAGCAGATTCAAAAGGAACAGCTAGCTTTAGGCACATGTTCGTAGCGGCTATTTTTAGTAATGAACCTGAAACGCTAATTACAATACATTTTGAGACATTTGACTGACAAAAAAGAGGGAGCATTTAACGAGTAGTAAGTGATTTATTTTACCAAGTGTATCGTCTTGTATTGATACAGTAAAAGCTGTATCGTGTATTGCATCGTCGCAAGAAAACTCCAGATGCACCGATGTGTCGTTTCACCCTTACAAGCCACCTTCAAGATCACTATGTAAGTGTAGTTTGCATTAAAGGAGATGCTTATCTTTGTCTGCATCAACAGCATATCTTTGTCCGGTGCACCACTTACTTTTCTTCCTTCTTACTCTCCGGAGGTTTGATGGTGCTCATGACATGGTCGTACTGGTCACGCTCCACATCATACAGCAGGATGATTGAGATTGTAAAGTCGAAGCAGATCCTCAGCCCGTCCACAAGCTCCTTACACAGTGCAATGCTGCAGAGCACAGGTATAACTGTTAATGGTGGACATTGACAATAGAAGCTGCGGAGCTTACGTTATAACTGTTAGACAAACAACTGTGAACAGCCACAAACTCCTTACAGTGAGATGCAATCGAAGTACAGGTATATGGTAGTAAGACATCGGAACTCCAAAGGGAAACAACTCCTGAATATACAGCGCAAGAAGACAATGTTTATACTGTTTTTCCATATATTATTAATGTATTTGGAGTTTTGTTTACTTGTTAATCTGAAAAACAAATAAATGTCCCCAAAAAACTACTTTCTAACAGTTTCAAATTATGAGCCTTTTCTTATCATGCATCAGATTCAGGAGGAATTGATAAATTCTGTTCAAGACTGCATGAACTCTGTTACTCTCTAAAACATCTGCCCTTATGAAACTCAGTTGTGTCATAACTGATCCTGTGTGTCCCACTGAACAATCGGGACATGGCACTGACATGATGTAGCTCCATCAGAGTAACAACACTCTCTACTACAACCAGATAACCACACTTAACCCAACAGCAGATATAGCGACTATACTGGTCATTCTCACTGACTTGGTTGATGCATGCCATCATATTCCAATTGGATCGATGCTCATGATATCAATCACTGGATTGTTTGGTCCACACTTGATTACTTAAAGAGCGGCTTCATATAGCTGAAATATTGCTGAGTGCAGCAATAAACAACAAACAAACTCACAAACAAACTTAACCCGACAGATTTGTTGTTTTTTAATAACTCGGGCAGATTATGAGATGCCACAGTACCTGATGGCTGGAGGACAGAGCATGGTGTGTTCGTGGCCGTTGTTGTTGTTGCGGCGACTCTCCTTCTCCTTCTCGCTGGGCTCACACAGCAGGTTGACGCAGAACGTCTTCATGAAGCCCTCCAACACCTCGATGACGCACGGACTGGCTGGCAGCTTCGTCAGCTGCAACATACAACTCACTCGTCACACAGTCACCAAACTTCCAGCTGTAGCACATCAATCACGGCGGCTGGTTAATGCCCCGACAGATGTCTCCTCCTGCTGGTAACTGGTATAGCACCATAGTATAGCACCATGGTATAGAACCTTTGTTACAATCTGTTTCTCCAAACAAGCAAATCATCACCAAAACCTGATAACCATGATAAAATTGGATCAGCTACTAACTATTTTTCGTATGTGCCAAAAGTTTTTTATAATGATTTAAAATCGGACTGTATACTGGTATAGTCATTAAGAAAACACATGAGTATCTGTAACCATGGTAACTGTTAAGTATCTACATGTATGGTCATTCAAAAATGAATGTATGGTTGGAAATTTGATATGGACAATAATAAACACATCTTTGTTGGGCAACCAAACAAACAAAGTATTGCCGCTAAAACTTCTACTCCTCTACAGGCGCCTACCTTGTCCCCGTGAATAATGGCGACGTAGTCATCCTCCAGTCGGCTCTTCAGTATGTCTGGGATATCAATGTCCACTGGTGTGTGAGTAGCCTGCAAACAACGCACATCATGGATAGATATATGTGAGCTCTTTTTTTTAAACTGTAAGCAATGTCAACAGATTTTTTATTTGAAACTAAAGAAGTCAAATAAAAAACAGGCCCAGCAGGATCAATGTTGACTGCAGAAAGGTCCTTAAATACACAGGGCCATCTAATATCATCTCTATCCTCTAAGTCCTAAATTAGAATTGGGATTTTACTCAAAAACATATGTGTCCCACCTTTTTTTATACTAGTTCAAGTTGTTATTGTAAATGTAAAAACAATAATAGCAAATTCTAGACTGGAAATGGAAATGAATACACAATGCCATTTAGAAAGTGGTCAAATATAACAAATGTTATATTTGGGATAACACTTTCTTAGTAAAGTACAGATTCTCGTACTTTTTGGGGTTGTGTAAATTGGCACGGCTCTCATGGCCGAAAGCTATGAATACACAATGCCATTTAGAAAGTGGTCAAATGTAACAAATGGGAGCCGTGCCAATTTACACTTGTCAGAGGGGTACTCAAAGTACGTGATCTAGACTATTAGTTGTCGGACTTTCATTTTAGTGGAAGCCTGGGTGGCTGAGTGGTTCGATCACTGACTTTGTGTGCTGGCGATTAGGTGCCTCACTCTGGCAAGTGTGGGTTCGAATCCCGGATGGGACTCAACCCAAAAAAGTACGAGAATCCGTACTTTCATAGAAAGTGTTATCCCAAATATAACATTTGTTACATTGGAAATGGAAAGATAATGGTTTCATCCAGAAAGCTGTAGAGAATTGGCAGGAAACAAACGCAACTTTTTTGAGGCTAAGTCCAAATTGTTTCCATGGAAACACAAGAAATTAAAAAAAATAAAACTTTGAAAATATGGAAATGCAATAATTGAACATAGGTCAATGCACATGTATAGTTTCATGCAAAAATATTCATTAGTTTGAGACTTATGGCATGGAGACGAGGCCTTGAGTAGTTTGAGGCCAAATGGGGGGCTACCAGGGTAAGGACATAATGAGCAGACACCATGTGGGACTCAGCAATATTCGAGCTATATGACAGCAGCCTGTAAATAATCAAGTCTGGACCAGACAAGACATTAATGATTATTGGTAAGTATCAATTCCAGGCATCAGGATACAAAAACACACCATCAACCAAGTCTCAGAGCCTGACCACCTCATCCAACTGATTGCCTCTTATGACCTGCATAGATTGGGGTGGATCTATTCCAACACAGAATCCCCATGGGTGTGTGGTAAGACTGATCCTGACAACTGAATAAATGATCATATCCTACCCTGCGACGTTCTCTTGTTTCACTGGCCGTATCATTGGAACTCTGGAAAAGATATTGGGAAAACATAGTGAGGGTACTTACTGTCGTCACAGAAATAATACCCTCCATTCATAATATGCTTACAGAAATAGCCTTTTACATAAAAAAGATAATAACATCATGACAATAATATACATTCAGATTTTCCAATCATATTTCAATAAAGGTAACTGACATCAAAACCTTGCCGATATCATCATAGAGATGTATTTAACCCATTTGTATGCCAAAAATGCATGGAGTGTTTGAAATTAAGGCATCCCTTGGCAGCGTTTGAAATAAAGAAAATTAGGCTGCCATCAGGACCCACAGACTTTAGAAGCTGCAGGTCCTGACAAGACTCTCCCGGCCCCCAGTTAAAAAATTGCAGCTTATTGTGACAAATACATTGACACGTAGATTTACTGCAGGCAATAAGGACCCATACAAATTTGAAATAACGGGCCCAACACGAAATCTACTGCCACGGGCCTATGGGCAGGCACTTATTTTGAACACTGGCCCAGGGCTCCTAATGCATGTTATACAAGGGCCAAGGCCTGCTCTGTAGTATAATTTGGATGTAGAGATTCTCAATATCATAAGTTTTACACTGTAGTCAGGACAGAGACCTCTTGACTTTCATGCTTAATTTCAAACACTGGGAATGCAAGCAGAAATACTGGCACAATTTGTTTTCAATATCACCTAACAGTTAATACTCCGTGGGGCAAAGGTGGAGACAGACAACTCTGCTTACATCATCACCAGATGATCTCCCATCATCGTCACCATCTTCCCCATCATTGTCATCATCATCTCCGCTGTTGTCGCTGTCGTCGGTATCACTGTCCAGGATGGGGATCTTTCCTCGGAATGATGAACTTAAGATGTCATCTATCTTCCTCCGACGCTGACTGTTTTTACGACTGCCAGAAAAAGTGCTAAAATACTTAATTTGATATTTATTCTAGGCATAATTCTCTGTGGAAAAAAAATACATGCATATTCTTTAAAGTATTATCATAAAGGTTTTTGACACAGCCATTAGTTAATGAAGAGTGAAAATTTGGAAGGACCAGTTGTTTTTCTCCAAAACTACAACACAATCGTCTAAATTGCCAGAATGAGCTGTGGATGACTTTTCTACATCTGTATCAATACATGATTGCTGCACACATTTTTTATATGGTACCTTAATACCACTCATGTAATGATAAACATCCCAGAGAAATAACTGAACAAAAAGTAACCATGAAGAAGAAATCTCACTATCTCTTAGCTGTGTCTGCAAGTTTCTTCATCAAGGTTCTGTTTTCTTCTGTGTTTTTTAGAATGTAGTTTTCCCCAACAATGCGATCCCAGCTGAAATCAGGAGAAAACGATAAACAACCTTGATAGACATGATAGAAACTGAGAAATAGACTTGTACACATGTTGAATAAGAACATGGCGCCCATCTAATGTGTAGTTACTGTTAAGTCAGGATAGATCGATTAGCATGTAGGAAACATGCCATGCAGCCATAGACCAATGTTAGTCTCAAACAATTGATATAACATGTACAACAAACTCTTTCCTCAAACATGTTAAACCAAGCAAAACTGTGAGCTCATAATATCCCAGGTGAAAATGTCCAGAGTTATATCTACTGAAAATAATTTTGAAAGATTAAATATTAGTAATTGTAGAGACAAATTTACAGCAACACAATTTGGAGTCAAGGTCCTGGTCTGATGAAGTACCTGCTATTCCATCCTTGAAAGTGAATGTGGTAGGCAGCAATTCTGTGGCCATGTTTGTCCTTGGTTACCTGGCAATCCAACACCTGCGAATGTCAAGATATTTTATGCATATTTCCAAAGATCTTTTCCTGTTTTTTTTCCTAGTCATAGTATATCTTGCCGGCCTTGCCTTCATTTACATTAACACGCCACCTCATTACAAGTCTACAAAGTACCACTCTACAAGATAGTAAAACAACCATCTGCAATGTTCGAAACTAAGCCCGAAAGCCGAAGGGTCCTGGTCCTTATCCTAATGTTAGAAGGTAAAGATTTATGTTGTCCCTTGATTCAAAAACTATAGGAGAAAACCTCAAGGACGCCACATAATGTTCAAACACTGATCTGTACAACAGTCGTTAGGGATAGAAATTAACCAAGAAATTCTACTAGCCCAAATATAGTGATAACATATAGCAACATCCCCTGAAGTGTTTGAAATTCTACTAGCCCATAGGATACCTTTAACTGTAGTGAAACTGGTCGATGCCAGCAGGATATTGCTCATTTCTATCCCTGGTTGTGTTAAACACTGCAGTAACAACTAGCACCAACCAGTCTTTTGACACAATGATTACATTTTATTGCTCACAGCAACATATGAATTGTTGTTAGCCTAACTTTCAATTCCACATTTGTCGTAGGCTTCTGACTAGTGGTTAGCGGCCCAGTTTAAAGTTATAACAAAACACATCCATGACTGACTGTTATAATCACACAACTGTACTAAGAAAGCTTCCTTGTCAACAGATACAGACATGGTTCTCAAAATGATGTACAGGTGTCAGATTCAGAATACAAATGCTACCATTGTTCTTTTAGGAGACCAGTTTATTTCTCGAATTTCTGATGGTCTTTGATGTCTGTTCAAACTTCAGCATGATTAAGGCTAGGTCAAATTAAAGATTTTTGCATCAAGTTGAAAGAATAGATGTTTGTGGTTGATCTTGGTAAGAAAGAAATTCCCACAAATTTATTACAATAATGAAATGGTTCAACTTATAATTGAACGGTTTTACTTTGAACAGTAGCCCTACTGGCTAAAAATCTAGAAATCCTTCGAAAATGATATCAATTTACAATTATAGCAAAACTAAGTACCAACTGCTGAAAAAGATTTAGAAACAAAATAATAAAGGTGAATCACAAAGACAAGTGATCAACCATTGTCTACAATATTTATACGATCGGTTGAAACTGATTTCTATTCGAAAAAATGAACGTCCAGACGAGACGCTAACGAAGTCATCTTCTGTTGACAGATGAAATGAACTAAATACCTTTGCATCATACAAAACTCTTGCTTTCGTCGGATCTGGTTCAAAACAAAGTACTAACTCCCCTACTGAAAAATTAAATCTAATGCCCCTCGTAGACATCTGCGCGCATAAGTTATTTATTAGTACCCGTCATTAGAATTTACAAACAAAAGTGGACGCGCCAAAACATGGATCAGTTGTCGCAAAGACAAATAATCGTACATTACAGCAAACAGATGATAAGTGAATTATTATACAATTATCAAATTGTACATCAAACATACACCTATTTTTTGTTACATACATTAGCATTAAAGTACAAAATTGGAGTATTAGGTCTTTTGTCAATGTCGCAAAAGGGAAACAATATCATTTTCCGTTAGCTGCATATAAAGTGCTACTCGGCTATTCTACTGGAAAATGATTATCTTGGCAAGTGCGAGTGAGCGGTTGAAATTCCTCGAGCAATGTTTTTCTTAAATAACTCGATCAATTAAACAAACCAAATTAAAATGAACTAGGTGAAACATAAAGAAACCTAACGCACCATGGAACGGAAAATGTCGGTATACACACTAGCAGATCATGTTGGTCTTGGACTGTGTTTAGAGACAGAGTCTCTTAGTCCAGTTCCTTATGAACTTTTGTTGAAAAAAATTGGAGATTAGCAAAACTATACATATTCTGAAAGCTTCCAATGTACAGATGAAGAAAACCAATGTTTCCAAATTTTCCCATCATTCATTTGGCGGCCATCTTGGATTTCAAGATGGCGGCCATTTTTTCCCATATTTGTCAAGTCTAAGGCTTCTGAGGTGTTTATTTTGTCATTTAATTGTTTATATGTGATTTTATGCTTACTCATATGTAATTTAGACATGCTTAAGGTAATGATTTCACATTCTTAACAAAAAACTACCTCAACTTTTCTAATATCTTTGTTGGATTTTGCAATATTATCAGTAGTGTGGATAGAATCCTATACGTTACAACTGTCTATCACAAAGTAAAATTGTTAAAGAATATATTGTACCTTAATTATCATATGACCCCTTAAAAACTGTCATTTATCCAATAATTACCTATGGTTATATGTTTCTCCAGCAACTCAGCAACATAAGAGCCATCTGTATCAATGCCTTGGCATTTAAAGTTTCAAAATGTCACATAGAATTGTCATAGTCACTTTACACCAAAAAAGGTCCCTTGAAGTCTTGAATAATAAAGTCACAATTCTTGATATGTGTCTTGATATCATATTCACAGAGAGTCATCAAACATGTCATTGCTGTCATCACTATCATTAGTTGACATATTTGTGTCATCGTCGTTCTCACACACTGAGGTGCAGAGGCAGAGTTCTGTACATGACAAGTTGTTTGATCGACATGTACATCTTTGGGTCAAACAGTCTTTCCTACACTGACACCTCACCATCTCAATAATAGCCTTGGGGGCTGGGAGAACATCCATTGTTGTTGGTTGGATCCGGTTATCTTTGTCCTTATGGAATCCATGTTGAAGTGGATCTAATTGGATCTGATGGGCGATATTGGCTTGACCCCACACATAAGCTTGAATATGAACCCTCAGAATGTGCTGCTTTAGAGCACCCAGTGTTGGTGGTAGCTTGTCACTCTCTGCCATATGTTTGCAGAAGAGATACCATCTGAGCTCTGGAATATCTGTCACAGGGAGGCCTTTTGGACAGTAAACACTGCATACAAATCTGGCCAATGTTGAAATTATTTGGTCACAGAGTTCACCACTTGTAGTCAGCACAAGGAAAGCATTAACGATATCATCATCCGTTTTCAAGTATTTCTGAAACCATGTTGCTTTTCCTACTCGGGAAAATCTGCCTGTATTGTCAGCTCCTGTGAAGGCATGGAAGGCTGGCAAAGCTGATGATTTCTTCACACCTAGGGCTGTCCAAAGATGCTTTATTGGTAGAACATTGGAGGCCATTGAGAGTGTGGTGTTTTCCAGGAGACTGCTGTAATTTGCAATGGTCAAAACAAGGACATCAGTGTCAGGAGAGAAGATTGTCAACTGCGAGTTCCTTGGATTGCGCTGTGAAGCTGAAATAGCAAGATATATCATGAGTGTGTCAGCTTCTTCATGATTGTTAGCTTCAAACTCCAAGTCTCTGTTGCTCCTGGTACAGCCGGATGCAGATGCAATAAAGGTTTGAGACGAATCAGCATTATACTCCAGTGTCTTTTCTGCCAGGTAGTCTGTCAGATCAGCTTTTGTTTGGTCATGAGACAGAAAACGATTTAACATGAGGTGCTTGATTCTGGTGTCATCTCTAATTTGGTACTGAATAGGATCTCTTCCTTGGCGTCTCTTTTCTCTTGTTGCAGATTTGAGGGAATCTTGCTTGTATGTGTCAAAAGCAAGTATGACCTCATCAAACCCTCTTGCCAGGTTCATCACTCTGTCATTGAAGCACTGACTGAGATCTTCAACTGTTTCCACTGTATTTGGTAACTTTGTCATCTTCTGAAGTACAACCATCCCATCTATAACAGCAATTTTTCTTGGGATGTTGTTGAAGGTTTGATTTTGTTCTGTGTCACTGTCATCAACTGTGTTCTCTGGCTGACTTGCTTCATAGTTCATTGCTTCTTCATTTACAAACTTTGTAAGACTGTTGATCAACTTGGACTTGTCAGTGCATGGTAACAGCAATCCACTTGGTGAAAACAGTGACCTTGGAGTCAGAGTGAACTCAAAGTTACCAATTGCCTGTTTCAAGTCAATGTCTCTACTTGATCTGGCAAGAACCATCAGCCTTCCATACAAATCTTTTGTTTCTCTGAGATCCACATTCTTATCTCGGAGACGAACTGTTTGCTTTTGGCATCCTGACATGTACATCTTGTTGTTTTCCCTCTTCACTGGTGCCCAAAGACTCACTGGCCCGTTGATTCGTTGAGACACGTACTCTTCATAGAGCTTCTTTCCTGTTTCATCAATGTGTAGGATCTGAGACACAAACTCTTCAGGGACATAGGCATGCGTCATTAAGTTAAAGATCTTGTCACCTTCAAAAGCAAATGGATTACCATGATCCAGAACAGCAGATTTGATCTTGTCAACTGCAGTGTGATCCCGACAAATGACTCCTGGTGAAAGGTCATGATGTTCTTCCATATCTTTTGCCTCTCGATGAAACTGACTTTTGTACTCACTAGCAAGACGAGAGAGTTCTGGAGAGGCCAAAAAGAAATGCTGCCTGGCATTGGAATTGTTTGAGATACCAATCAAGCCTGAGTGAACTTTCATTAATCTGTTCAGATGTTCACATGCATGATCAGCTCCTATGGATGTAAATGGAATGTCATTCTTTGTAACTGATATGTTTCCAGCTTCAAACTCCTTCCAAGTCTCGGGGAAGTCGATCTTCAGGGCATGCATGTCAGCAATATATCGGGGCCACAGTCTTTTGTACTTGAGTCGGTCCATAGCAAAGAATAATCCGCTCAGTTCTTCTCCAGCCTCAAGATGAAGCTTCAGATCTGCATTGCGAGAAGCTGCTATGAAGAACAGAATTGTCTCAACTCGATGTAGATAATTCATCAGTGATTTGAACATAGCATTCTTTGATTTCTCAGTCTCCCATTTCAGAAATGATTCCATTACTTCTTCATTCTGAATTTGACCAATCAGATTAGAATGTTCATCTTTGACAATTTCAGCCTTTGATGATTTATCAGTCTTCCTGCATGCTCTGTCGATTTCAGCTGCTGTTTCCACACAAACTTCTTGAAGTTGAGGATATTCCTTGAAGAACTCTTGCAATGCTAATTCATAGAGTGCCATGTAGGTATACATATGAGCCCGCAGACAACGTTTGTAATGCGTACATGTAAGAACCTGTCTTCTTGTTGTGGGGCCAAAGACATCAGCTTCCATCCATGCATCATCAATGCCAGAGTTTTCTATGGACGTGCCTAAAGCTCTCAGCGCAGCCATGACAACATGCAGTTCTCCCAGTCGTGGCACAATGTTTTCTTTCAGTTCAGGCTTAGCATCTAGGAGTTTGATTACCTTCTCATAAAGGGCCATGTCAAATGTGATGACTGTAGGATGTTCATTTCCAACTGCTAGTTCTTTCAACTTCTTAGCTTGCAATATGACAGTGAGCAGTGCAGACCATTCATGTGCTACTTCTGGAAGGAGTGGTAGGGCACCAACTCTAGTTGTTGATTGTCTCTCTGACAACAAAGACATGTAGCCAGCCCATCCAGGAATCATGCTAGCTTCTTTCTCATCATCTGTTCTGGCTATCATGGAAGCAACAACCCAGCATAAGTGTGTCAAGTGATAGGACTTTCCAATACCTGCTTTGTTGGTTATAAATTCTTTGTCTTTTGAATGTGGATGGTTTCTTGGATTTGGTTTTTCACAGTGAAGCATCTTGGTATGGTAGGGAGCCACAGAGAGACTGTTTGCTTCAGTGATCTCAAGGGGTGGTGATATCTGCTGTCCAGTTGCTCCAGTGCTCTGATATACAGCAGTAATAGTCCCATGTGTGGTGCCTTTGCCATCATGAGTGTCCTCATCAAAGTCTGTGTTGTCAACAGCAAAAAAGACAAAGGAACCTTTCCTCAGAAATGGTGGAACATATAACCCCTGGAACTGTCTGGTGTTCTTCACAACTGCATTGGCCAGAGCTGTTTCCAACATTAGAGAATGTCTGTATGGAATGCAATAGTTGTGTGCACTGAGTAGATCCATGATCATCTTGTTTCTTGTGTCATGGTGGACTGTAAGGCCTAATCCTATTATTTGAGGATTTTCTCTTCCATTGTGAGATCTGAATGTTTCACATTCTCTTTTCTGTATATATTTAACTTGTCTTCTTGACTTGAAACCGTACATTATGTTCTGGCATACAGTCAGTACTGTTCTGTCAACAACGCTGGCTTTTGCTTCATTCTGAAGGTTTTCAACAGTTCCCACCATCATCCAGCGTATCAGAGTGTACAGCTCGATTGGGACGTCATTAATGTTACTTGTAACAGATAGGGGATTGTTGATTTTGTCATCTCTGTCAAAGGCTTCTATACTCTTTCGTACAAGCTGTGCTGACTTGTATATAACCTTCATGTTGTCCATGCCCTGGTCGTTTTCAATTGCAGCATGCACCATCTCTTTCTCGCAGGCTTCAGGGGAGTAGAGA